CTCTGAGTTGGGTGGAGCCAGGATCCTGGGCCCACACTGCCTGTAGCCCTTTCCCCAGACGGGCACTGTTCCCTGCCCCTTTTGGGGCCAGGCGTTAGGGAACTACCCCACACACATACTCACAGGCTCACGTTTACACACCCAGAGTCCCAACCTGCACACTTGTGCTCCTCCAATACATACCTATGTCACCTCATAGACCATCTCCCAGGCTCACAGCCCACCCGCAGATTCATGCATCTCGCACTCACCAGGCCCCTCCCTATCACAGAAACCCTCTGTGTCTCTCTTCCCAGGGCTCCTTATCTTGGCCTACCCCTTCCTGAAAGCTCGGTTCAACCTGGACCACATCCTGCCTAACATAGGTAAGTCCTCTCCACCCAGAAGATCCTCTGCCGAGGATTGTGTGAGACCCCTTGTGTATAAGCCTGTGGCCCACTGTGCGGGGAAGCCAAGCCCACATGTGTGACTGCTCCTGGCTGTGTGTGTTAGAGTTGCTGTGTGTATGTGTTTGGGTGTGTGGCGCAGGTGTTGCCATGACTACAGTGTAGCAGACTTCAGTCTGCCTCAAAAGTGCCTGAACTAGCTCAGGGCGTCTAGAACTCCCATCTCCCCTGATAGGACTCTCCATGTTCCCCAAGCCTCCAAGATTTCCAGATCACTCCACTTTACCCCTGAGCCCCTACCGAGACCTTCCATCTCCCCCAAGACCTCAGGACCCTTGAATAGCCCCCTACCTCATCTCAGCTCCCCATACACACGATCCCATCTCCATCACGCCTGTGGGGGCTTTACATAGCCCCAGTTCTACCCAGGACCCTCATTTTAAAAAAATCTTCCATCTTCTCCTTCAAGGGCCCATTTTTTCCATCCCCACTCCCCTCCCACACAAGCCTAGATCGTGTGGGAGACCTAAACGAATGCAGTAGAACAAAGACAGCAACAGGGATGGAGATTATACAGCAGAAATGACTTCCCTTCCCAAAGCCGGACTTGATTTGAGAATGGCTTAGTGACCAAGGGGCTCGGGGTGATCTCATCCTGCAGGGAGCCTGAGAATCCACCCCCACCCAGGGCCAGACCATGCGGAGGGAAGATCCAGCACCAATGGCAATAAAGATGGTAAGTTCCAGAAACTTCGGAATCCATCTGCCACCTTCCCCCTCTGGCTGAGCAGCTCTGTGGGACCCAGGAGCAACCTGGAGGGGCATGCAGGAGCTTCCCCAGTCTCACAGAGCCCGCAAAGCCGAGTGGTTCTTCCATGTGTTGAGTGAAAACCCGTCTTGCTCCGAATTGAGCTGAGCCCCTCTTGTTTGTCCTCAGGGCTTCTCTGCCATGCCCAGCGTCATGGACACCGAGACAGGGGGCAGCGCACTGCTCCTTCCCCTCCTCTAGGCCCTGTGCCCCAGTTTATTTTCTCACTCTCCTCTCCCATTGTGGAATCCAACTCTCAGCACTGGTACCTGAAACTGAGCATCTTCCTCCTACCCCATCCCCGCACACTGGAAAATTCCAGGGCAGGAGTTTCTCAAAGACAGTCCCAGTCCACAGGGTCTGTGCCAGTGGTAGGAGGCCTAATCTCAGCAAAAAGTCCCATCCCAGACACCGTTCCAAGCACTTTATATATATTAATTTGTTCCATTCTCAGAACAATCATATGAGGAAGGTACTATAGTTAACCCCACTTTATATATGGGGCAACTGAGGTGCAGGGTAATTAAGTGACACAGCTTGGAAATGGTAGAGAGATCAAGTGGTCAGCCCCCGAGTCCTGCCTCTAACCCCGCACTAGGCTACTGTCCTCTTGCAGGGCGTTCTGACCGTCCATACCTCTTTATTTATTTTTTAAAATTAATTAATTAATTTTTTAATTGAAGAAATGATTTAAATTTTTTTTGCCCCTGTCTACCTTCCCTCCTCTCCCCCCTACCCTCTGGTAACCACTAGTTTATCGTCCATGCCTCTTTAAAGTGGTCTAAAACTGCAGCCTGGGACTCCCTTCCCTCTTCATTCTGTCCTGCTCTGCCTCCAGGTCCTTCTGGGCTGCTCTGACCCAGAGATCTGTCCACTCAGGCAGCCTTGTGCTGGTCTCTCCCCTAGGAGTCCGAAGCAGCCTATCCACCGTGAGCAGAACTCTGGAGAAGCTGAAGCCAGGGGGCCGAGGCACTGGAGAAGGTTGAGACAGGGGCCGAGGGGCTGCCCGCTGCCCTGCCCTCCCTTCCTGCCCGCCACCCCAGTCTCAGAGCCCTCCTGGATCCACACCAGAGGTGAACCGGGCCCTGGAGACACCAGACCTGCATCTGTCCAGCTGACCAAGGCTCTTGGCAATAGATTCCACATGAAGGAGGGTGGGGTCTGAAGCAAGGTGTCACTGGCAGCCCCACGGGGGGCCTTGTTTCAGGTTCTTGACCTGGCTTTGCTCTCTGGACTGCAGCTCAGCTTCCTTTCCTTTTTGATCTACTAGCTGGTTTCTCTGGAATTTGGGCCCCAGGGATACCCCAGTTCCTTGCTCCATCCCGGCCACAGAAGTGAACCACAGGCCCACAGGAACCACAGACAGGGTTCTGGCTGAGTCCCTCAGCCCCCAAGGCCTGGCCCTGGGCCTCTAGGGCTCACCGGCTGGATAGAGGGGCTGGATCAGATTCTTTTGAGGGTATCAAAACTCCAGACAATTCCTCAGGGACCTTAGCAGCAATGAACCAGACGAGAGCAAATTCTAGACAAAGTGGTCACTGCCATGACAGAGCCCAGGTAAGGCATGGGCCTGGAGGCTTCCAGGAGGAAGTAGCTCCCGAACTGAGCCCTGCCCTCTGAGACTTTTGGTGTTTGCATCTAACATTCAAGGCTTTTTGTGATCTGACTTCAGACAAGACCTCCAGCCTTCCTTCTCCCAAACCCTCTCACTGCTCCTGAACAATCTAAACATATTCCAGCCTGCAAGCCTTGGCTTACGTTCTTTCTCCTGAAGGCGGCCCTGTATCTCTCTGCCTATCAAAACCCCACACCTTTAAAGGCCCAGTTTCAAGAATCCCCTTAACCACAGTGCCCTCCTCATTCTCTTCCACCAGCCTGTGTCACTCTCTCTCAACAGTCTCCAGGCAGGTTGAAGTCTTCTATCTCACAAAACAATTATTAATCCTATTTAAACCTACTGTATGTTGCCCTTTTCCAGTCACCGTCAGGGCACACAGTAGGTGCTCAATAAATGTTAATGCCTTAATTTAATGGGAGAAAACATTCCCCAAGCTTTCCCTAGAGAGCCACTTCAAGGCCCCATGTACCCACAGGGTTGGGGTGAGAGAGGCCTGGCCCAGGTGCCTGCGGCTGTGCAGGAGACGTTGCTCCTCCACCCACACCACTCTTCACATATCTGCACCCATAAAGCACAGCAGTTGTGCGACCTCTAGACGGACATCTGCTCCATGTGGCCCCTGACCTGGTTTGGTGAGCAGAAGACAAGCTAGGAAGAGTCTCATTCTTGAAGGATCAGTCCAGATGACACTTCCTCCCAAAAGCCTCCCCACAGCCCCAGCCCAAAACTCTGAGTGGCCCTCATCTATTTCCCCCTCTTGAGAGTGGGGGGCGGAAGGCTGGGCACCTAGAAAGTACCCAGTAAATTTTGCAAAACCCGACCAAAAGTGTAAGAGACCATCTCACCATACAGATGGGAAAGCTGAGGCCCTGCAAGGAAAAAGACTCGTTGGGTCCCACAGTGAGAGATGGTGGGTCCAGGCATGGCACCCAGATCTCCTCTATCTCCCCACCCAAGGCTCTACCCTCTGTTATTCTCTGCACAGGGTACAGGGACCAACTCCTTGGTCATGGAGGGACAGACCGCCATAAAGGGGCTCAGTTTCATAAACACCGTCCAGTAGTGGAGTTCCTCCAGCCTTAGGGGAGTCAGCTCCCCTCTTTGAGTTTCACTCCTCTCCTCCTCCCTTCTTCTTTCCTCCTTTCCCTCAACCTCATTTTCATCAACAATAACTCAAGCCTGGTGGCCCCTCCTTGATCAACAAGGAAATACTTCCTCTTGTCTATCTTCAATCCTTACCTGCAGTGCCCCCAAAAGATGCCCAAAGGTGGAGAGGGTGGAAGTGGGGGAAGTGGAGCCTGAGCTGTGGGGAGGGTGGTCCCCCACCCCAGCCCACCATCAACCCTTCCCGGCCACTATCTCCCCAAGGCAGGACTATGGTATCTCCAGTGCCTGGCAGGGCAAGGCACCGAGCAATGTCAGGGATCAGAGTAGAATAAATTAAGGAATGAACACATGGGAAAGCAAGAGCTATGGCCACTGTAGAGGAACTGAGTGGGGTTCAAAGGATCCTTGAAACTAGGTGTGAGTTCTTGAGGCCTGAGCCTCTGGTTCCTCTCTCTCCCTCTGCCATGGGCTCCCTGAGACCTCCTTCCCCCCAGTGCAGGTGAATGTCTAGATACCCCCTCCCCAAGTGTATCTCCACTCCCGGTACCTCCACTCCCTCTGGTCATAGGAGTGGTCCATGTGGAGACATATACTTTCTCCTCATCCATGCTTTGGAAGGTGAGGTTGGGCCAAGGAGGCAGGGGTGGTGTGGTGACTAGTGTTAGGGGAAAGTGCCCTCTCACCTCTGAGCAGCTCCTGAACTCCCTAATATTTAAGCACTGGAGGGAATGTGGACAGGGACAGGTCATCAGACCCTGCCCTGCCAGTGGTCTATTCAATAAAGGAAATGGGTTCTGTCCAATCGTCCTGTTTTGACCTCAACCGTGGCTGCGCCTGGCTGGCCTGGGGGTGGGTGCTGAGAACACACCAAAGGCTGGGGAGTGCTTGGTCCAGGCAGCCCTCTGGATGTCACATCCCTGCTGGGACAACCTGGGGGACTGACCAGGCTGGGGCTGGAGTCTGGGGCTAAGACTCACACCCTGAGTCCGCCCTCAGGGGCCAGGCAAGGGGCTATGAGGTCTTGTGCCTCAGTGTCCTTATCTGCAGATGGAGGATGAGGATAGCACCTTCCTCATAGGGCCACTATCAAGATGGAGGGTGCCAGGCATCTATTTATATCAGGGAGAGTTTATGAATGGATGGGCGTATGAATGAAGCAGGAGATTGGAGGAGATGCTCTTCCAGCTGAACTCCAGATTCTGGAAAGTCAGCACCTCCCACCCCCAGCCAGTCTTCTCCGTAACACAGGCCAGCCTGTTGGGCCTTGAGCCGGGGCACTCCCTCCCCATCCTTCAACCCCAGCGAGACCTTCCCAGCCCCACCAGGAGAGACTCGGCTTCTTAAGGGACTCGTGGCCACACCCCTTTCTGGGGGCAGGATTGGTGGAGGGTGATTGAGAACAAGCCCCATCCCTGGAAAAATCTCCCTGCCCCCACAGCTCCATGCCTACCCCCTCCAGGGAAGGTGGGGAGTCTGTTTGAGGCTGAAGACAGAGCCAGTGCGACCTGCACCCCTCGCCGCTGTAGAGTGAGTGGCTGTGTGTCCCCCGCGTACTCGGAATGTCGAGCCCCCGGCGTGTGGGAGGGCTGGGAGTTCTCGGCAGGGTGCTTGAAACCCGTGAAACGGTGGAGTGAGGGGAGAAGGGCTGCGCGGAGGGGCAGCAGGACACTCGGTGAAATCGCTGCTCGTCCCGGGGTCAGAGGGGAGCCGAAGGGGCACCAGGAAGCTGCAACCCGCAGGGCCGCCTCCCACCGCTGGCCTGGCGCCCCGCCGGCCCCCAGCGCCCTCGCCCACCCGCGGAGCCCCGGACCTCCGAGTCGCCAGGCGGTAAGTGAGGGGGATCAGTCGGGCATCCCTGCCCCCACCCCACCCTAAGTCGGGTCCCTCCCCCCCATATCCCCGACTCCCGCTCTGCTCTCGGGGGATCCCTCCCTCCTGCTGGCGCTGGGTGTTCGGGGGATAATGGCTCAGGAAGGAGAAAGCCACACAAGTTGGGGGTGGGCGGAGGGAGGGCAAGGGGATGAGACGAGAGGGGAGAAAGGAGAGGGTGCTGGAGAAGGGGATGCTTTAAGGAATGGAGGAGACACTCAATCCAGCCTTGAACTGCAGGGGACTGAGTATTGCCCAGACAAGAGGTCAGGGACCTGCAGCCTTGAGACAGAGTTATTTGAAAAGAGACAAAGGGAAACGGGAAAAAGAGAGACAACACAGAGTGGCTGCCTTGGGGCCCCTCTGTTCTACCCTGATCCCTCCCCCTCTTTAACTCAATAAAAATCTACCCTAGACTCCACACCTCTAGTCCCCACTCAGCTTCCCACCACCCTCCCCGGCCCAAAGCGAGGAGGGAATCAGAGAGAAGTGGGCACAGAGAGACTTCAAAACGAAGAGACAGAGGAAGCCGGGAAGGCAGGAGACGTATCAGGGGCTCCTCCAATCAATTCCTTCCTTCACCATTTGTCTAACGAATATTCCCTGGGCCCCTGGGAGACTCAGACATTCTACTGGGGATGCGAGTCGCAAGCAAGGCAGATATAATCCTGATCCTCAAGGAAGACCACTGGAGTATGCAGTCCTGGACACAGGAGTCGTCGGTCACCTGCTGATTTGGGGAGTTAAGGAAAGCTTCCTGAAGGAAGTGACCTCCCAGCTGCACTCTGACAGATGAGTTGCAGTTAGCCAGGTGAAGGTAAAGTCAACATCATGGTTCAGGCCCAGGGAGCAGCATATTCACCAGATGACACCTGGTGAGCTCAGCTCCACTCTAGCAAAATTCAAGAGATCCACCGCCTGAGGGAGCCAGGGCTGGAATTTTAACCCATAGGGATAGATGGGGAAGAGGGCAAAGTGGTGTAGCAGTGAGACTGGAGAGGAAAGGCTGGATTCTAGAGACACCTGGAGGGAAGAATCTGCAGGGCTTGGTGGCGGATGGGACCGGAAATACGTGGAGGAAAGCCTGAGGGAGAAGGAGGAGCGAGGATGAAGCCCTGGTTTCTGGCTGTTGTCTGGGCTTTGTTGGAGAAGATGAAGTTTAAGGAGCCTATTTACAAGAGGAAGAGAATGTTTCTAGAAGGGAAGGTTAAGTGGAGTCAACGCTGTGGAAAGGTCAAGTTAACTAAGAACTGAACAGTGTTCATTGAATTCAGCAACAAGGAGGCAGCTGGTGGCCTTGGAAAGAGCCAAGTGATGGATCAGAAACCAGACTGAGAAGGTTAAGTAGGGAGTATAGACAGTACTTTCAGGAAGGGAAGAGAGTGTTAAACA